CTAACCGATACCTAGGGTGCCCGTCTAAGTATTGGGAGCGCCTAGGAGAGAACGGACTGCTTACGCGGACTATACGATGTTAGAAAGAGGTATGTATATTGCTTGATTAAGCATAGTAATGGTTGAAGAGAATTAGCCAGGTTAAAATGTACTGAAGATCAAAACTTTATGTGCAAGTCTATCTCAAGCAAAATAGTAAGGATATGATTTGAATCTTTGAAAACAATCCTTCTTCTCTTGATGTTAAAAATATCTATGAGCCGCTTATATGAGCTGCTTAAGCGTCCGCCTAATCGCCTGGGCGCTAGGCGCTTGGTTTGGCGCCTAGAAACGCCTAGCTCTTTCTAAAACATTGAGAAAAGCTAATGACGATAACACCATGGATAACTTCCATATGGCTCCAAATCCAAATCCATCTCCAATATAGGTTTGTTAAGCCCCCATGGAATAAACCCTATTCAATCTCCAGCTCACAGTCAAGAACTTATCCAGGGTGTATCAAGGTGTATGCATATCCTGTAGGGCAAGTTCGTTTGTGTGCCAAAAGTTTTATCATACAAATTAACTAAAGTGGAAGATATATATATATATATATATATATAATATATATATATATATATATATATATTATAATATATATATATATATAATATATATATATATATATAATTTACATTTAATATATAATATGTTCTTTATAATACTATTTATTATTATATTATTATTATAGTAACTTTTATTATTAAATATATATTACTATTACATAAAATTGTATAATTATTAGTTTATTAGATATTATTTATTATAAAACAAATAATATTATAATAACTAAATAATAAAATATTTACTTTATTGTATAGTGTATATATTATATTATTATATTATTATTATTTATTAATATATCATTTAGAGTTTTTTGTATTAATAATATTTATTTATAATTATTATATTATCATATTGCTTTAACTTATTAATATATAATACATTCCAACATATAATATTATTATTTGTATGTTATTATATTATTATTATTATACTATATAGTTAATCTAATATATTAGTAATATTTAGTAAATAATATAAATTATATTAACTAATTAAAATATATATAATATATATATATTTAAATATATTATATATATATATAATATATTATATATATATATAATATATATATATATATATATATATATGTGTGTGTGTTGTGTAGTGTGCTAGTAGCGCGCCGCCGCACTGTGACGTGTATGAGAAAAATGAGTATGCTTGGTAGTGAGGTGGCATATTCCCCTCCACTCATTGAAATCGGGGCCCACATTCACATGGGTTGGGGAGTGGTTGGGAATTGGAATGAGTGGATGAGAATAATACACCTCACTACCAAGCACAAAATTTGTGCATGGTACCAACTACCAAACATACCCATTTCTCTCTCTCTCTCTCTCTCTCTCTATATATATATATATATATATATGGTGAAAACTTGTGTCAACTTAAGTGGATAGGGAATAGTGTATCCACCAAAGTTTTTAACCACTCATATTGCCTAGGGATCCTTGTATTATATAAAAAGGTGTTTTATATTAATAAATGTGTGGCTAGGAACTTTGGTGGACATCAACTTAAGCTTCTTTAGCTCGGCTTGTGACATATCTCTATGTGGTTAACTTTAGATAACGTGAAAGGAGTGATATGAAAAAATATAAAATCGACATAAAAATAATACTGAGAAGAAGGTTCTGCAGATTTATTATTACTTTTTGTGAAAGATTTGAACTAAAATTCAATAAGATTAAGTGGCTATCCTTACACTAAAAGAAAAAAAGGAAGGGTTCGACAGGTGGTTTGAGGCTCTAAGATCCAAAAAAGTATCTGTATCTTATCTGAACTGTTTATAACTTGTAGTAGATTTTTTAAGCAGATAAATATATAGTTCAATCCATTGTAAGAATAGGATTTCTAACTAATGAAATTAAGATATCACCATGTTATAAATCCTATTATTTTTTTAATTTCATTTTTTATACAGGCTGAATTCTTAGTATGAACCTCTTTCTTATAAATCAGAAAGCGCTCATCACATCTAAGATATCAAATAAAAAGTCATGCATAACTCATAAGCAATTTTTAACTCAGGCAATGCTAAAGGCATGATAAGCCTATAGTCCTGAAGAAAGTTGCCAAAGAGATTAAAAACAATACCGACGACGTGATAATATACATATCAACTAATGAAGTAAATTTCACCTAAACTGAAAATTAACAGAGGAAATATGCAGGTTCTATAATTTATTAACAAATATGCTGATGCTTACAATATGACTGTAGAATCTGATTTTATAAGGCCCAAGGAGTAAACTTCTGGTTAATTCTTATGTTTCCCTTTAAGATGTATATTTCTAAGGCTTCTTTATGATGTCTAAAGTAAGAAGTCTACTAAGGAGCCTAAATAGCAAAAAGATGATCCCCCAGAAATTGGTACCTGTACCTTTACTAAGGAGAAAAACTTCTCTGGATAAATCTCGTTCTTGCTCTTAAGATTAGTATATTTTATAGTCGTTAATGATATTTAAGTAATAAGCCTAGAGCCTAAAAGTAAGAAAAGGTTAACATACCTAATAATTCTATGATTTTACTACTACCAACTAATTTAATGTGTATAAATAAATCCAAAGAAGAAAAAAGAGACAACAAGGCATAGGAACAGCATCAAAGTTTAATATGTCCAAAAAATTTATGTGTCATGTGTGCTTTGAATCAGGAATTTTCTAATTCTTCCCTCAACTATAAATACATGCAGGTCGGCTGGGGGCACGAAGATAACACTGAGTATATCAGAAGAAAGAGGGAGATAACCACTCTCATTCAAGTGTATCCACCCAAATGCTTCAAATATAAGATAGATACCTTATATAGAAGAGCCATTGCTTTAAAAAGCGGTCTCAGCCGCGCTAAGCACGCCTTAAAACCTAACCGATACCTAGGGTGCCCGTCTAAGTATTGGGAGGCGCCTAGGAGAGAACGGACTGCTTACGCGGACTATATCGATGTTAGAAAAGGTATGTATATTGCTTGATTAAGCAAGTAATGGTTGAAGAAAGAATTAGCCGAGGTTAAATGTACTGAAGATCAAAACTTTATGTGCAAGTCTATCTCAAGCAAAAAAGTAAGGATAATGATTGAATCTTTGAAAAACAATCCTTCTTCTCTTGATGTTAAAAATATCTATGAGCCGCTATTATGAGTGCTTAAGCGTCCGCCTAATCGCCTGGGCGCTAGCGCTTGTTTGGCGCCTAGAAACGCCTAGCTCTTTCTAAAACATTGAGAAAGCTAATGACGATAACACCATGGATAACTTCCATATGGCTCCATCAATCCATCTCCAATATAGGTTTGTTAAGCCCCCATGGAATAAACCCTATTCAATCTCCAGCTCACAGTCAAGAACTTATCCAGGGTGTTAAAGGTGTATGCATATCCTGTAGGGCAAGTTCGTTTGTGTCCCAAAAGTTTTATAATACAAATTAACTAAAGTGAAGGATATATATATATATATATATATATATATATATATATATATATATATATATATATATATATATATATATATATATATAATATATATATATATATAAGTTACATTTAATATATAATATGTTCTTTATAATACTATTTATTTTATATTATTATTATAGTAACTTTTATTATTAAATATAATTACTATTACATAAAATTGTATAATTATTAGTTTATTAGATTATTTTATTAAAAAAAATAATATTATAATAACTAAATAATAAAATATTACTTTATTGTATAGTGTATTATTATATTATTATATTATATTATTTATTAATATATCATTTAGAGTTTTTTGTATTAATGATATTTATATTTATAATTATTATTATCATATTGCTTTAACTATATAATATATAATACATTACCAACATATTAAATATTAGTATTGTATGTTATTATATTATTATTATTATACTATATAGTTATCTAATATATTAGTAATATTAGTAAATAATATAAATTATATTAACAATTAAATATATATAATTATATATATATATATATATATTAATATATATAATTATATTATATATATAAATAATATATATATATTATAATATAATGTGTGTGTGTGTGTGGTGTGCGTGTGCGCGCGCATGTGCGTGTATGAGAAAAATGAGTATGCTTGGTAGTGAGGTGGCATATTCCCTCCACTCATTGAAATCGGGGCCCCACATTCACATGGGTTGGGGAGGGTTGGGAATTGGATGAGTGGATGAAGAATATATCACCTCACTACCAAGCACAAAATTTGTGCATGGTACCAACTACCAAACATATACCCATTTCTCTCCTCTCTCTCTCTCTCTCTCTATATAATATATATATATATATGGTGAAAACTTGTGTCAACTTAAGTGGATAGGGAATAGTGTATCCACCAAAGTTTTTAACCACTCATATTGCCTAGGGATCTTGTATTATATAAAAAGGTGTTTTATATTAATAAATTGTGGCTAGGAACTTTGGTGGACATCAACTTAAGTGATAGGAGTCTTGCTCATATAAATATATATATATATATATATATATATATATATATATATATATATATATATATAATATATATATATATATATATATATATATATATATAGACACACACACACGAGCCAGATCCCTTCAAGCTTCATATTCATATATTCATAAGAAGTTGTGTACACCATCCAGAATCAGGAACTGGATGATGGAGCAGAATACTAAATACATTGATCTCGTTATACTTTGTCCTCTGGTATTCATTTCTAATGTCGATGACACAAAACTTGAAGTAAATAATTGGGAGAAAGCCTGTTTAATCCAAGTCCACAGCTCTAAAATTACAGCTTGTTGTTGAAGCCCTCCAACAAAATAGCAACCTAAACATCCAATTAGATACAAATTCATATAATCGACGATATAAACAACAGAAAAAAGCGTACTTTGGCGGCCTTGATCTCATCCTCAAGCTCATGGAATCGATTGTTGAGTCTCCCAAATTTGTTGATGTTCTGTTGGTCTTCCCACGTCACCTGCGTCTCTGAACCGTCCCCCTTCAACCCGTCACCACAGAAAACACAAGCTTGTGATCAATTTCTACGGTTCTTTCTAGTAATTAAAAGAATCGAGAAAGAGAAAAATGGTGCTTTTTGAACTTTCGGAGCTAGGGTTTTGGATTTACCTGCTGCATTGTCTTCGGACCAGCGCTCGTTACTGGATTCGCGGATTCGGAGTTTTTGAGCTTTTAGTTCTCGATTTCTAGGTTTTTTGTTGCTGGACTCGGTCTGGAGTTCTGGCGAGGGGATCGGATCTATATTTGTGAATTTTTTTTCTTCTTTTTCGGTCGCTAATTAGCAGTAAGATACCTGATAGTTTCCCCTAATTCTCACTTATATACCCTCACTTGGTTTTGTAAAACATTATATTCATGTCGGAACTTTATAATTCAATTATCTTTTTTTATTCTTTTTCTTTTTTTATAAGATTTCATTTACGCGTCATTTGCTTATAAATCAATAATCTTTGTTTTATTAATATACACACATGTAAAAGCATCATCTAATCTAACCATTTTTTTTTCATTTTTTCTTTTAGCTGGTCTGAAATTTATCAATGGATAAATATGTTTACTGACAAAAATTTCATGTCCAATTTTATAATCTTGTTTGTTTATATACATAAATTTATTTTAGCTTGTTTATAATCACTTGATAAACAAATATGTTTACTAACAGATATGACTTTCCAACTAAACAAATTAAAATAGTAGAAACATTAACAAATAGAAAATTATGTTAATTCAAGAAAGTGGGCCAATATCAAACCAAGTATTTAAACAGGTTTGAAAGTATTTAACAAAGATACAAATATTATCAAGTGACATTAACAAATACGGGCAACAAAGAAACAGAAATGGTATAATCAAAACTGTATAAGCTCTCCAATGACACAAATTTCACCTATAAATACATTATCACATCCAAGAAAGTCTTACAAGCAACAATGGAGCTTATTGGCTCATATTTATTGCTTTAAATAGCGCAAGCAAAAAAAGGGGGGGGGGGAAAGAAAAAGAAAATAATTTTTTTTTCATTTTTTCTTTTAGCTGGTCTGAAATTTATCAATGGATAAATATGTTTACTGACAAAAATTTCATGTCCAATTTTATAATCTTGTTTGTTTATATACATAAATTTATTTTAGCTTGTTTATAATCACTTGATAAACAAATATGTTTACTAACAGATATGACTTTCCAACTAAACAAATTAAAATAGTAGAAACATTAACAAATAGAAAATTATGTTAATTCAAGAAAGTGGGCCAATATCAAACCAAGTATTTAAACAGGTTTGAAAGTATTTAACAAAGATACAAATATTATCAAGTGACATTAACAAATACGGGCAACAAAGAAACAGAAATGGTATAATCAAAACTGTATAAGCTCTCCAATGACACAAATTTCACCTATAAATACATTATCACATCCAAGAAAGTCTTACAAGCAACAATGGAGCTTATTGGCTCATATTTATTGCTTTAAATAGCGCAAGCAAAAAAAGGGGGGGGGGGAAAGAAAAAGAAAATAAAACAGAGACACTGAACAAAAAGGAAAAAAAAAACAAGAAAAAAGCAGATTCTAAAACTCCATCAATTATGATGTAGCAGAATAATTGATTGAGGGCATCCTATGAAGCCGGAGCTCTTTGGCTGTAATTGAGAACCAGAACAAAATCTTTGGCCGAGGTGCCAATTGTTGCCTGCACTCTTTGTGGGGGTTGTGACTGTAGCCAAATCTCAGCCAAGTTGTACAAAGGAAGTGCAGGGTTCACTATTTGGCCGCGACAAGTAATCTCCACCTGTTACACAAAGTTGATGATTTGAGTTAATTACAGATTGAATGATTAAAGAACTGAACGTGACAAACCCTAATGCAAGTCATTGAGAATTGTTGCATTAACATCATAATCCATCATCTGCAGGTTAACCTGACTTTTGATCTAAATTTGAGGGTAACCCTCTCCAGATATCAGACTTCAGTTTCTTTTTTAGGAGAATTAGATCTTTTGCAGAGTAAGATGAAACTTTCTATTTAAGTATATCACTCCTTCTAATTCATTTTGATGCTTGCGTGAACCCCCAATATAAAGAACACCATTATGCAAAATCATAAATTTATAACTGATGCAGCACACTTATCCTAATGACCTCTTTATTTGTAGATAATATGGTTGTAACAAGCTGCAGGTTAAGAAAGCGAACTAATCCTAATCAAGTAGGAAAGAAAATTGATCTTACTTACAAAGGATGTTACGTCATTAGACATAACGACCCTTGGCACAAGGAAGATTTATGTTAGGTTGTCAGTCTTGAATTTTCAGAGTTACTGTACCATAATGAACCAAAACAAGAATCCAGTGCATCATCATATTATGATAGTAGTCTGGCAATCAAGGCTCTGGACCTATTTGCACCCTGAACTATCAAATTATCCCTTCTTACCCCTGAACTCTTTTTAGTCCCTACATATACCGTCTAAACTATTGAATTCGTCTCATTATCACCCCCATGAACTATTTTTCCTCTCACAATGCCCCCTAAACTACTGAACTAACTGCTGCTTACCTACTGAACTACAACTTCTAGTACCAAGTTGCCACTTTTTGTTTATTATTTTGTGGGTGTTTTAATTGGATTTATGAGAGGAAAGTGACAGTTCAGGGGGGTAAGGTGAGAACGAAAATAATTCAGGAGTAAGCATGAACGAAATTAATAGTTTAGGGGGCAAAGATGATACCAAAAATAGTTCAGGGGCAAGGAGGGACAAATTTGATGGTTTAGGGGAAAAGCAAGGACTGAAACCTGTAATCAATAAAAAGTACCGATATATTTGAAGGAATTGAAAACCCACCTCAGATTCACTTACAAGATTGTGTTTCTTCACAAGGTACTTTCGGACGAAAGAAACAGGTAAGTTACCATCTCTACAGAAAAAAACAAATATTTAGCGTCCATGTTACCATTCAAACAAGAATAATGCACATAACAAAGCTGACAGTTAAAATTCTAGCGAAGAAAAAATAATATACAATCAGTCAAGCAGGAAAGATGAGTAACATATATTTTACCAAAGCTATTTCATAATCAAGTCTAGCATCGTATCCTTATGGTTCATATTAAGGAATATGTAGCTACAACAAGATATGACACCAATAGACTCGAAACCAAAAACTGAACCTAATGGAAAAGGAAAGACAAACTGGAAATAGGCTGGTAAAGGTCGGTTGATGTTCAAGTAGGAAACAGAAAAAAGAAAGAGATGATAAAAAATGAACAATTTCTTGGAAGTCAAAAGTAGCTTCGGCAAAGGAAGAGGTGAAGTGAAAGTCTCTCAGATGGTTTGAAGCTATATTAGAGAGTAAATAATATGAGTCGGTTGCTAAGTTAACAACGGAGGTGCATATAGATAAAGGATTCATGTTTCCAGTCCTAAGGACTTGGTACAGAAGATCTGTTTGTCTTTGTACAGATGATTTGTTTGTCTTTTCTACTTGAAATTATGCCGCATGGGGTTCATGACCATCTAAATTGGATTACTGTTTGTTATCATATTTCTTGAGTTGTTCATTACATAGATGGCACAGAATAATAAGCCTTCACTTCTAGATGTCAATGATACATTTCTATGGAATATATTGCAATTAAGTCTTAAATAATCAAACAATAGAAAATACTATGAAATGATGCATCAAGAGTTAAGTTGAAACCAATAGAACTCACTTAATCCTCAAGTAACATGTAGATGTCCGAGGCAATACCGCATCTCCTTTCCTAAACACAATATAACAAGCATCAGAAACAGAAAGGTGTTAACATTTATAGTTTATAGAAATACTACCGAAAACATTTATAGTTTATAGAAATACTACCGAAATCTTCAAATAGGGAAATAATTCTCACTGGTCAATAGCAGGAACTAAAGCGAGCCAAATTGGACAATTCCTCCCTTCATGAGTAGCAGAAGCAGCATCTACCAGAGCTTGTGCTGAGTTTTCAAGATCTCTCTTTCTCTTGCGTTGAAGTCTTTGAGCTCTCACCTTTACTGAAGATGTAGAGGTATTGTTATTATTATCTTCCTGAATTTTGGGCTTACTTGGATGTTCTTTGACCTTTACTTTATCCAGAACAACTTCACTATCCGCACCATTTATTTGCTCTTCCTTGATATCCGAACTCTGTGAACTGGACTTAACAGCTTTTGTTCTGTTTGCTGCCTCTACTAGACAATTTAAGGGTTTCCAAAGTTCAGATTTATCTTTAGGGGATCCTTTGGTATAATCAGTGTTCTTGTTAAGTGTATAATCAGATGTATCCACAGTAGAAGAGATCTGCAAAAAGTAGTAAACTGTATCAGTAAACATATCTACAGTGAAACTGCTCCAAGAATGAAAAGAACTCTGTTAGTATGCAATACTTGCTGCATCTTAATCTGCATATATTTTTAAAATGGTTAATTGCAGAATACTTGCTGCATCTTAATCTGCAAATATTTTTAACATGGTTAATTGCAGATACAACCCCTGCACCATGGTGGCCAAATCACATATACCCCCTAAACTATTCTATAAGCACTCACATCCTGTACACCCCTTAAACTATTCTATAAGCACATGCACCCTTGAAACCTTAGAAAGCATAACTTTCTTTCCTCAATTTCAAAGCGCAATTTAGTCTTGTTTCATTAAACTGAGGGTAAAAGATAAATTATTGTCACATGGAAAAAAAAACATGACATCTCAACCTAACAGGAGAAATACTGTTGTCTGCAGTTCAGGGGGAATAGGTGCTAATAAATTAGTTTAGAGGGTGTAAGAGCGTATTTGAACTTAACCCTTTTAAAATTAAAGAACTGTCCTATTTCCTTTACCTTCCTTCTACTCTGACTTGAAGTTTCAGCATGATCTTCATCATTCTTGACCTCTTTTGAGGGTTCTTCAATAATAGGACCCAATCCACGTAAGGAGGAAGCCCTTCTAGCAGTGGATTTTGTTCTCCTTCCTGTTAAGCCTGAATGCGTTGATACTCGAGGAGTATTCACAACTAATGATGAAAGGGATCTCTCCTTTCTTTTAACAGGTAAGACAATGGAAGGCACAATTTCAGGAGCATCGACCTTTGTCCTCTTCAAAGGGAAAATCTTAGCTCGTATATCTTGTCGATTGTGATCAGCCCTACACAGAGTCTCATATTATTATAACATAAGTGTGTCAAAGGAAATAGCACAAATTAAGATTTATTGCACATTATAAAATATTGAAATTCTTTTGATGAGTGGAAAAAGATATTAGAAGGTTGAAAGCAACAAAATGAGGCTTTACAAACAGATTCCTTTACCAGTCAATAAATTGGTGACTGTGCAGTTTTGGGTATATTTTTGAAACAAGAACAAAATAATTACCTCTTATAGAGTATTAGCATGTTTATACCAAGCATTACAGGGCAGACATCTGAAAGTAAGTTCCAGTATTGTAAAACAAGCT